ATATAGATGTTTGCGTGTGTGTGCATGCATAATGTACAAAAATCACCACTGGATGCTCTCAACTATATCTGGAATCTGACGAGTGCTCCTTTATTCTCTCTTTATCATCCCGGATGATGTTTCTATCGCGTCCACTTTGTTGTCAGGGTCGGAAGGAGCCAGCAGGCTAAAGATGTTCACAACTAACTGCTGATTCAGAGTTTGCCATTTCTCCCTCTGAGCTCGGTTGCCTCATGTTGCTTGTTACTCACAAACGGCATCGAATCAAAAATATCTCCGTTGATTCCCTGACTCACAATGACATTTGAAGTAACGCGTGTCCTGTCCTTAGAGAATCTCATGTCTCTTCTCACTTGAGGCACTGGAGGGAATGTTTGTCAGGTCTGTCGATTCACCTAATAAACATGTGAATGTCGGTCATGAGTGGTCTCTCAGTGGGCATATTTAAAGGGCCAGTCAACATAACCGCAAGAAAAAAATAGTCAAACAATATCTATCCCAGAGGAAATAGTGCAGCTACATTTAATGTTCATCACCTAGACTTCTTCATCTCCTGCCCTCCCCATCCTTCCATATCTCTCAATCTGTCGGTCTCACTGCCCCTCCTCCTCTCCAAAGAAATCTGTTGTCGGGGGGCTGTCTTTGTATTAGTTTATCTCTGATTAAATCAGTATATTCTCTGAGATCACTTGACAGAGACAGAAAGCTCACGGACAACAAAATCTCCTCAACAAAACCCCAAATTCGTACTAATCTCAAACTGCGCTGCCGTGTCTCTGCTCGGCTGGTACCAGCTGTGCATCTTCCCCCTCGCTGATTGAAGCCAGCGCCTTACTGCCCGCATGTGAACCCACTTAGAAGGCCAGAGGTCAGTTTGAGGGGAAATGTGTTGAGCCTTAGCCCTGACTACCAAAATTCTTTAAAAAAGGTCACCAATACGTCTTTTAGGGAGCAGGGGCGAAGCAAGAAACAACCACACTCAGAAGCAAATGTATGTTCAGAATATCTCCACAGCTGAGTCATGCAATTTGAATGCATATCTAATGTACAGTCCAAGATAGTGATCAGTGACTGGGGAGGTTTTATGACATGGTATATCTAAGTCATAAAGATGCCTCTGGATGATAATATACTGATGGAGCTCACGGACGTGTGCAACATATGTGGCCGTTCAGATCAAAAAGGATGCTGACTATGGGTCCTTTTGCATTTATTTTGACCTGGCTAAGAGCCTTTTAAAAGATCAGAGTGTTGTTGGTCACGTGTCCATCTGCACATGTGTGATGCAAATCCCACAAATCCCAGACTACCCACAGCGTCGGTGCCCTCTGCAAAGGTCTCGGTCGTAACCCTGTCGTGCTTTATCCCTTTAATGGTCTCACCCCGAGAGAGGAGATGGACCCCGCCGCATTCCGCTCATTCCTGGTTGTTAAAAATAAGACCTCTCTAATGTCGGTGGAGGCCAGCTCTCCAAAATTCAGAGACTTGTCATTGGAAGGTTGGGAATTAAAGGCAAGAGAGGAGCTTTCGTCTCTATATTTCACAAAAAAATGGGAGGGGCTGACGTGAAGCAAAACTTTTAACTTTTAACATGTTTAAAGATGGGCTTTTCACAGCGGAGCTTTTATGTCTCAGACTCTTTCATCTTCTTTTTGCGTGATTAGATACACAAGAACCTCACAGGATAGTGTAAGAGCAAAATAAAACCACAGCCTTGAAGACTACCAAGAATGAACAAAAATGTATGTGTACACAGTGACAGCATTCCAAGAAACCGTTCTGAATGTACAAAATAACATCTTCCTGTTACTGGGTTATATGGAATATACAATTCTGTATATTCCATTAAATTGCTTTTTCTCTTATTTTGTCCACCGTCTCTATAGCGTCCTTGCATGGAATGTGAATCATCATGTCTTCTTTGGCGTTTGTGCACAAAAATCTTTAAAATTAAATTGGCCATTGTGCCTGGCAAATTAGGATTCTGAACTCAACACCCTCCATCTCTACTTGCACAATGTCATTTAGAGCACAATCAAAATATCACCAGGGGCAAGACGGGAACATATAGTTCAAGGTGAAAAACTCGACTTTGCGGTATTGAGGTAGAGGATGCGTGACAAAAGTTCAGTTGCTGCGTCTGCTGCTTTCAGACTTGAATGAGTGAAGAGGCATTGTGTCTGTGTGCTTTAATTCCGAAGAGTGCTGTTGGATAACCTCCAGAGGGGAAATAACTGAAACCGTATAATGGAGGGCTGAGCAGTATCTCTGTTGTGCCATCAATGGAACGCCTGTTCCCTCCACATCTATCTCCCAAGGTACAACTTTGATTACAAAACTCAAATTACTTTTTAAAAAGGTGGGCGTAATGCTCCATGCACTGCAACTTAGATGGCGTTTTGTCCGTTTGCGTGCTTTCTACTTGATGTATTGGCAAAATCAGTGGCACTATACTTTATGCAAGCAGGAAAGAGACTGACCTCTGGAAGGTTTGTGGTTAAATTGTATGAATCTGTCTCAGTGCTGATCTCTTTGTCTGAAAATTGCAAGTGCCACTTTGCTTGAAAGTATGACCTTCAGACGTACATACTGTAGCACTGAGACATACTTTACAACTTCACAACTCGACTAATTAATTCTGAGTCCTATGAATTCAAAAAGAGAAAAAAATATATTTTTGCATTGAGGTCAAAGCACTGTGTGTGTGTCTGTGTGTGTGTGTGTGTTGAGGGAACACTTCATACCTTATGGGACTAGTAGAGTGTTCAGAATGCTAGCGATCTTGCCGGGAACTGACCCTAGATGGAAACTCTTCGCTTGTTCTTTTCCAGAAGAACATTCTTTGGCAGCAGCCTCACCTCAACTGATCCCACTCCAACCGCCAGAAACACAGCCACAACTCCCACCAGAGAGCGCACATCCAAACACTGTACATGGACATATTGTCGGCTCACACACCCGTCAAGCACCATGAAAAAGTTGTAACGAAACGTGCCATAAACACCCGACATTCGTCATGCATGTTATATATGATCATTGATTTTTTTAATTCACTAAACCTCCATCTGAGATCTTAGATGATAGTTTAAACTGACCTTACAGGCATTCAGCAACACGTCGTCTTATTGAGAAGTCTAACAGTGCTTGGGGCATTTCAGAGGTGCATTCACACTTTCTGGAACGTATCAGACCCAAACAAACAGTTTCATTTGAAGCATACAAGTGCGTTTTAGTCCGAAAGGCCATTTCTGGCTCGAGGATCCTGCAGTCCAGGATACAAGTTGGAATTAAATCCAAAGCCGTTTGCAAAGCAAGAACCACATATTACACTTTTAACAATAGGACTCACTCCCCTAGGGCAAAATGTTAGGGATTATTTGGGCTCTAGCAACCAATGAGCAGCCAGATTACAAAGCTTTCACATCACTTGGACTGTAAAATTCTCAATAATGTTAGGGCTGATTCTGTTTTTCTGGCTTCATGCCGATTTCCGTGATGCGCAATTGGCAAGACTAAGAGCACCATTCACAGTGAGTCAGACATGACTGGGAGGTATGGTTTACAACCAGACAGCTGATGCCTGCTGAAGATTTCTGATCAGAGACTGCAGTTTTTGGCAGTGCAGAGTGCTTTGTGTGGGAGGGTAAATGACCGACTACAGATTAATTTAAGCTGCTTTCCTTGCGGGACTCATAAAAAACGGGGGTTGTTTTTATGAGTGGCGGCCAAAACAGCTGAAGTTTCAAGGGAGGGGGAAGAGACAGCAGACAGACATTAAAAATGGAGGTAGAATCGCTACCGAGGATGTGTCGTGGATGCAATAGTGGAAAAATACAGGAAATTCACAAAATATAGACCTCAAATGCAGAGAAGCGTTCACTTGAGAGAGGCTTATTATAGAGATGTTTTTCATTGCTCTCGATCTAAATTGCTGTTGATGTAAACTCAACTCTTCCTCCAGTTTTACCCGTTTTGATACCCGCAGGGTAATTCATATTTCCACAGAACTAGATCTATTAGTACGATTAGACTTTGAACAGAAATGCTGCTTTCAATTAATTGCATTAATTAGTTCTACATAGCTGTGTTTTTCTTTTTGTCCGATTGGTGTGTTGCTGCATTCATGTCATATATTTGAGCTTTCAACATGGGAGTTGTAATTACAACTTGGATGTCGGCGTGAGCGCTTTTAACAAGTCAGAAAAGCCTCACTGTCTTTGTAGGCATTTCATGTGCAATACATCTGCAATAGAAACAAATAAAACAAACAACAAAGTAGAAATTAGAGTGATGACTGATGTGGCCGTTTTTGTTGTCGTATTATTTTAAATTAACCCCGTAAGCCATTATCAGTGCAGGTAATCTCAACGGTTTCTTTTTCTACCCATCTTTCATCACATAAGCCCTCTGTTCACCAGCCTTCTGCTCAACTAAATTGTCCCATTCGGGGCCCTGACAATGGATGTCATGGTTCCAGTGTGGGTAATGAACACTGAGCGGAGACGCTACAAACTCAAAACAGCTTGGAAGTGCGATGCTCTGCAACAGCAGGGGAAAAGTTCAACAAAAGGAGATTGCATCAAAGGAGGAAACAGGACATGCTTGAATATGTCAGACAGACAGTCTTCATTTAAAGTGAATGGCAGATGGAGCACATATTTGCAGGATGTAGGTGTAATGTGATGCGACTGGAGGGACATTATTTTCATTGTGGGCACAACACACAACTCGGCTATTAATTGAACAGCGGTAAAACGGATTGAAGACACAGTAACGTCTTCTTACTGAATAGCCATGCATACAGAATATCTGCATGACGCATCTGATGGCAAACTCGCACATGCACACAGCCGGCCCAGACTCCACCCCCAGTGGAACAGTGATTGGCCTACTTAGAGGCAGGGCAGCCCACTGGCAGATTTGAATACAGGGGAAACAGAGAGGGAGGAGAGGAGGAGGGGAGATGGAGAGGGGGGGGCGGAGCACTAGTTTGTCCCTGCTCTCTCTCTCTCTCTCTGCCGGGTCAGGATGGAAAGGCTTACACAGGCAGGGGGGGGAACATGTCATGAGAGGTGATGACACAGCCACGGAGACATATCCACATCCTCACTGACTCCCAAGTTCGCTGCTCGCCGCTGCTGCCGTTACCGCGTCCAACAGAGGACAGAGAGAGCCAGAGATAGCCTCCGTTCCCTGCCCACCCCTCTCTCTCTTCCTCTCTTTTTTCACTTTGTGTGTGGATGATGGGATTTTAATCATGTGGAAGGTAAGAGGAGGTGGAAGGAGGAGGAGTGAGGGGCTTGTTTTGTTGTCTTATGCACTCTTTAAAAAGGGGGGCCTGTCCCTGTGGGAGTTTGTGTTCCTCTTAGTTTACTTAAGTGTGAGTCCCTGGGGGATTCCCGTATGCTTTCACCCTCCGTCTCGGCTCAGATTGTGTTTTCAGTGGAAATGAGGAATTGAAGCGTTGAGTGCCAGCATTACTGGAATGATAATGACAGAGCAGTGGCTTCGGGACTCAGCCAATGAGTTCTGTGGAGCCATCTGTATCACTGTCGAGGAGAAACTTCTGTAGAAACACTTGCTGAATTTACCTTTAGACCAAGAAGTTTATTTGTCCCATGTGGTCTTGGAGTTCTAAAAAGAACTTAAGCTTTACAAAAACTTTAATTTTGTCTTTTTTTTGCCAACCAAAAATGTGCCGACATCAACTTTAAATGCGGAATTGGATGTTGAATCTGAAGGTTTCACAAGTATTGACTGTGACACTTCTGAACATTTAATTCTGTGTATGTGCGTGTGTGTGTGGGGGGTTTGTGTGACCCAAATCCAAAGAGCCACTGTGTTGTGGTGGTTGCTTGAAGCACATGATACATAAGGACAGGAGACAGCGCCTTGAGGGATGCTTAAAATATGTGTTCTAGAGTGCCGTGTGTATACGAGTGGCTTTAAAAAGGTCCCGAATGGTCTTTTTAGCACTTTAAGGGAGCAAGTCTGACAGAGTTAATTTAATGGCTAACATATTTAGCTAGATGGCACTTTTTCCCCCTAAATGTTCCTGTGTGTATGTGAATGTAACACACCTTTATAATTATTCTTCATGTATAACTCAGTCATCGTGTGCTTTAATGAGCCTCCTGGAGGTGCTCGACCCCGCAGCATCTCCTGTGTGCTGAGGCGTGTTTAGTACAGTACGTACAGTATCTGTGTGTGTGTGTGTGTGTGTGTGTATACACGTCTCGTGGGCGCCGAAGCGCGTGTGAGACAGCTGGCTGCCACGGGCTCAGGGCTACTACTGATCCTTCTTACCTGCTGCGGGTCACAGGGATCAAAGGAAATCCAGGTTCAGGGTTTGACCTGCGAGACAATGTACTGTACTGTCAGTGCAGCTTATGTTGATGGTTAAAGGAATGCTGCCTGCGACTTTGACCGAAGCAAAACAAAAGCATTAAATAGAAGCATGTGCGACTTTTGAGGCAGCTTCCTTTGATGTTAGTCTGAATAGTGCACCCTTTTAGTCCTATTTGACCTACAGTAACTGTGGAGATCATATACGTAGGGTATAGTGCTTTAATTTATCTGTAAGAACTTTAACTTTCAGTTCATAGAAGTTTGCCACATTTGCTTTGCCAAATAGAAACTACAAGCACAAAAGGTTTTGTCTGTTTGGTTTGTAGTTGTCACGATGCCGACCGAAATAGCATTGTTGCCTTTCCTGTTTCTCCCCCCCGACACGTTTCAGTGGCATTGTCAGCCAGGGTGGGCTTAAGAAAAGCATCTCAGTTCTCAGGTTTTTTCCAGACCTGATGATTGACTGTGGGAACCATGTAGACAAATATAGACGAGGCTGTATTGTCATTTCTTTTCCTGAGTGGGGCCCATCGGTGGCTTTGTTTAGACTTGGCAGGAGAGAAAGCTGCACTCTTGTTGTTGCTTTAAGACACAAGGAGAAAAGTTAATTGCTGGTTGCTGATAGCATGAGCCACCTACGTTGGCCCCTAAACAGCCCGTTATCTCACCAGTGTGGAGCTTCCGTGACACGATGTGGAGGTATAACTCATGAGATAATGAGTTGATTTAGTCTTCAAAGCGTCAGCAGCCTCCGACTTGAGGGGCAGACTGCTAATTGCTATCTAAACATCCTTCAGAAAAAGACAGACTGGAACACTTTTTTTCACTCATCCTCCCCCCTATTTCCACTCCAGTTCAGTTCGTTTTAGTCACCCCAGTGCATTCTTTAATCACCAACCGAATAAAATGAAGTGCAGCGTTGCCATGGAAACTTGTGGCAATGAGCGCGACCGGTTCAGTGGGACTTGGCAGCTTGTGCAGTCCCGTGTAGAGGACAAGTGGCTCCTCAAACTTTGTCAGGAGCCTCTACACTGGGCTGCTTTACACATTCCGAGGGCGGTATTGCCCAAAAGTTAACATTTGAACTATACATATTTTATCATTTCATCCATTTTGCACTGCATGCAAATTTTGGAGATGAAGGCAGCAAAGCAGCAGAACTAAATGCATGCTCCAACACCGATTGCTGGTAGGATTTGCAATTCAAGTAATAATTTTGTATCTTTGTTTGATTGCGTGAATGCTACGAGATTATACATCATATTTCAAACTATTCCACAGTAATCTTGCAATCCCAGAACTTTCTTGCAATCAAAGCAAAGCTCACTTCCTCTTAAATCTTCGATGAATCCACAACTGTTTGCAGTTTAATCCATTAGGAGCAAAAATTATCTCAGATTCTTTGAGCACGCCGCCTGATAAACAACCTTTCACAGGTGTCAGACGCAACTCGGTTTTAGTTATTTTCCTCTCCTGATTGTGAGTTTGAAGATATGCCGCGGCCGCTTGGTATGGATGGATGGTTTTGGTTAATGTGCTGCAGGCCGGCAGATGTTAAAGAGTCAGATCACTTCGCTTTGGAATATCTGCCACTCGAGGGGCCTCTCGATTTCTATGTCATCTTGGTTTTTCTTTTTGACATTCCTTCCCTTCGGTTTCAATGTAAACACAGATCATGTCATCGCACTTTGCTCTGAAAAGTCATGGTTCACGCTCAAAAAATGCACGGCTCAAAAGCCTGTGTAATTGTAAGCATATTCCACAGCTGTCCACATGTTGGATGGTGTGACATACAAGGTGCTCTGTGGAGCAGGGTCGTTTTAGGCATGCGCAGGTTAAACAGGAGTCACATGTGCAAAGAAACAGGTTTTTTTAGGGGAGGAAATTGAACTCTAAGCTAATTCCTTGATCACACCATAAACAAATTCCATTCCTCCCATAGTGATCGGTTCATACATGCATAAACTACCTCATCTGCCAGCTCTCTGGGGCCGCTTTAATGCTGAAAACATTTCATCATCCAATCAAAGTTGCGAAGATAATTTCACACTTTGGGGAATAACCATTATTTAATCACTTTCATATCCGCCAGGGGATCCTAAGCACATATTTTGAAGGCAACATTAATGCATTGTAGAATAATTGTGATCATGGAGTACATTTGAAGCGTCTTAAAAAGGAAATATAGCACACGTGTGCTCATCAGTTAATACTCCATCATCCCGGGCAGCACACACGACCAACGTAATATTAAAAGAAGACTCATACTAGAGTGGCTTCTTGCTCTAAAGAAGTAACCTTGAAGTGCATTATGTTGGGCTTTCAGTATCAGACACAATAACTGGCACTTTAAACTGTTGCAGTGCATTGAATCCCACCAACGTGCTGCTTTATTCAAGCTACAAAAAGCACTCTAATATCCCCATCACTGTGTGTGTTCGTAACGTGAGTGCGAAGATCATTCACCCTGATCAAATATGTCCAGGAGAGCAGCACCAGGCTTGTTGTTGTCCCCTGTAATCTCTGGTCCCCAAACATCACATGTCATTTCATATGCGGCACTGTACCCAATCTGGGTCACACAAGCAAGAATCCAGACGGACCTCGCCGCACACRCACACACACACACACACACACACACACACACACACACACACACACACACGATCACAAATGTCACCCGTAATCATAATCACTAATAGCGTCTGCATCCCGGACTATGCAACCAGCCAATCCTGTTAGGTGTAACTGACCGCTTCGGAACATGAAAGGACGTGATTGGTCACAGCCAGTGTGGTAGGAAGCGGATTAGGGATCAACATTGCAGGGTGTCTGGAACCAGACAAAGATGTAATGTGTGTGTGTGGCAACAGTTTGTGTTGGTAACGTGCTAACAATCCAGATAATGTGCTTTACAGGAGAGAAAGTAGAGAAGGAGGGATGTGAAGAGGTGAGAGAGATTCTGAAATCTAATTCTCCTTTGAGTTTGACATCTGAAAAGCTCTAAGCTTTTCTTTTTAATCACTAGTGGAGTCTGGACTTCTTTAGTGTTAGCTCTGGGCGTGTTCACATCACCAAAGTATACGATCTCTTCCTCTGTCCTAATTGGACTTTTCAGCACCTACACCTGCACGCCTAAGTCTACTGTGGACAACATAAAATGAATTCCTTCCAGCGCTGCAAGATTTATTGCATACTTCGGTGCCTAAGACAAATACTTTGCAGAATAATATTTTGACTTTGCTCCACATGGCAGTGGGAGCATATCAGCAGTCTTTCTGCATGGCTGCATCCACACCGCGTATATGGACAAGCAATATACTATATCAAATATAATATATTATCAATTTGCGGAGGAAATTTGCTTCGACCTTGGCACGGAGAGCATGACCGTGAGGTCGGGGGTTAATCTCTTGGTTCGCGCTATCCGCTGCTGTTATGAAAGCAGATTGTTTTTTTCCCCTCGATCTCAAATCCCATAAGCGGTTGGTGGGGGGGGTCTTTAAATACTTCGACAGATTGGAGTTAAACAAGGTGTCGAAATGTTTAGATTATGTTAAATATGGAGAAGGGGAAGTTTTTAAAAGAGGAAGAACAAAAAAAAAACAAGGTGAAGGTTGTGTTTTATAATTCAAAAGATCTGTCAATTTATGCAGTTTTCCCACAAAAATGTGAATAATTGAGCGCTGCTTCTGTCCGTGCGTGTCCCTACTGTGAAAGTAAGAGATGTTTGTGGGCAGTTGCTCAAGATGATGGCATAATTGCAATTAGCTGGAGTGGCGAAATGTCCAAGCGACATTTTTTTAAGTCATGGCCACCTTCGGTTTTAGGTCGATTGTGAATATATTTCATTCAGAGTTTTGTTTTGGTCTGACAATGTGGCATCATGTTTACACTCAGCTTCACATGGTTTGCCCT